CGAACACACTACATTAGTTACCTACGCGTTTATAAAACGTCTGGTAAGATTTGTTGACGTTTTATAGGAACATCCTATAGAGTTTATTCACTTTTTCAAAATTATCCAATCAGAAAGTGTCACCATGCTTCTAAGCATACATCTTTAGTCATGATAAATGTATTTCAACACAAACGTACATTTAATTTTATTACAAGCTTTATTTTAACTCACTTCCTCTGTCTGTCATCAGTCGTCCGTCTAGATCGAAACGCCTGAGCAAAATTACTGGCACTTCTAACTGACAGATACGGTTCGTAGTCGGCACGTGGGTCAAGACTTGTAGACAATGCAACAAAATCGTGGGTCATTTTAGTATCTATTGGATACCTTTACTAATGTTTAGGAAGAGACCCTTGCTTTTCTTTATAGTTATTTAAATAGTAGTCTATAATTTATTTTCTACTTTTTGGTGCATTATTACATAAAAGCTTGTTATTAAAACATCTTTTATGAAATTTGAACAAGCTTTTATTTAACTCACTTCCTCTGTCTGTCGTCAGTCTAGAAACCCGACCTCGCTTCGCCGCTGAATAGCGAGTTGTATAATTAGATTTAATTATTATTTAATCTCTTTTAAATTGCTTCTTAAAACGTTCATATATTTGAAGACGAATAAAATAATGCCACACGGCACAGAGGTTTTAAATTGGCTAAAATAAATTTAAATCAAGTAATATTTTTTTTTTTTTTTGTTTTTTGTTTTGTTTTTTTTTTTTCAGTGTTTACAATCATTTTTATTTGACACCCCAAACCTCTTCAAATGCATTACAAACTTTTGAACATGTGATGGCAGCAGAAAGAGGATAATTACTGCTAGAAAATGAATGTTTTCTCAGTGTAGTCAGGTTTCACACTGCCATGGGCCATGGCTCCTATAACAAAAACAGCAGGCCCATCCTTGGGTACGTAATCTCTCACATCTACAATCTCTTCAGCACTGTATGACATGGCATATTTTGGACAGCCAGTGGGGAGGTGGTCACTGACTGGGTTTTTGATCACCTTTAAGAGTTTCTGCGGGCCATCACTTGCCCTGATACTTAGCTTGTCCAACAGCTGAACCATGAGCCCACAAAATCTGTCAAATGTGCGAGGTATGCGAGTTTGAGGGTTGATTTCTATAAGTACATTCTTCTCAGTTTAAACCTGTAAAAGATTAGCCCTGTTGAGAGGTAAATCCATTAGCATAAGGAGACAATGGTGTGTGATGTCAGGCCGACATGTTGAAACATCTTTTTTTATGCGTTTTCCAACATTTTTGTGTTTATCGCAACATAAAAGTTCATACTTCTGTCCTACCTTGACTGTTTCCAGAGATGCTTGATCAAGTATTACAATTAACCGTTTTTCCTGAGAATCTTTCAATACACTTTTAATAATTTTTGGCTTTTGAACGAAAGTCTCGTCTTCACCATGCTCTTCCATTTTTAGATAGAATAAAATATTTTAAAATTGATATCTACATCAGCGAAAAAACTTAACCAATCACAACTCAGTCAGATTGACACACTTATAACTAAGCCTTTTGTGATCGTATACAGTGTTTTCAAATTTGTTTTTAAATCATGTAAATTGTATTGTATTGAAACTTTTAAAATCTAAAATTTTAAAATTTAGATAAAAGTGAATAGTGTGAAAAAAATGTGGAATATAAAGTTCGTTTTCTATTCTACAAGTTAGAATCAGTTCAAGTGGTTTGTTGAATATTGCGTGAGTTACCCCCCATGTGTGAAGCTTGTAGCGAGGTTTTCCGGACAAAACTGTCACTAAATATCTAACCCAGCTATGGACGTAGCGATAGGGGGGTGGGGCGGGGATGTGTGGACCGCACCGGGTGACACCATTTAAAGGGTGGCACCAAGGCAAACAAAATATATACAGAAAAATGATATTTCCACGTAAAATTTACTTTAGTGAAAAGCTGGGTTCAATGGCGTAGCAAGATCGGGCATCCCGGTGCGGCACTTAATGGTCCCCCCCCCGTATATATATATATATATATATATATATATATATATATATATATATATATATATATATATATATATATATATATATATACATATACTAGGCATACTAACTAACTTCGCTTTAGTTTTAAAAAAGCTTTTGAGATGTTGGATGATTAATTAACTAATGATTGGCTGTTATGTGGAGTGCTTAGGGCCTAAGCTTAAATAGTCTGAGCAATTTTAAGTTATGCAACAATAGGTGGAGTATTCGTAAACTTATTACTTGCTTAGTTATTAGCAAAGGCTTCCTTAAAAGTATAAATCAAATATTATATTATATTCACTGTTGGAATTAACTTTTACATTTCATTACAATACATAACTTAATTTATAAAAAAAATGTTTATTTAAGCAAACGCTATACTTCGTGTTGTTGTTTTTTTTTCTTTAACATAGTAAAAATATTAGTTTGAAATTATTACTTTAAAAGCTACCTACTCTGTACACTACCAAATAACGTAGTCTTTGTTTACTTTTTCACAAACAATTGTTTTGTAAGAAAGTACGGTACCTGGACAAATCTAACGACTTTAAAGGAGTTTATCCGACGGGAATAATGTTTTTTTTGTTACTCTCCAGGGTTGGTCTACGACCTCGCGAAATATCAAAGGTGGTCAAAAAAAGTTCATATAAGGCGCCGATCAGTCGTAGTCAGTTTCGACCCTCTCTTCGTGGACTTTGCGGCCAACCACAATATATATATATATATATATATATATATATATATATATATATATATATATATATATATATATATATATATATTTATAAATATATATATATATATATATATATATATATATATATATATATATATATATATATATATATATATGAAGATGTTGTTTTTAGAATTTGTTATATATATATAAAGCGATCACATACATAAAAATATGATATAAACATATATATGTAGTATAGACGACGACAATATATAATCTATTTAACTATGATATTTATATATATAAAACCTCTGAAGTACTTACCACGCTCCTTAATGTGAACTTTAAGAGCGATTTGTGATTCATTCGAGTGGGCAATAATGCTGTGACGAGTGAAATCCGTCTTCGTGACGTTCTTCATATGGAAATGCAACGAGTATCTGTCTGAGGAATTTCCCGCTTCCACGGTGACGTATTTCCGTTTAGTGACGTCATTAATGTCTACAGCCAGGCTGTCAATGAAGACTTTTGGAAGCAGGTTAAATGGAGCCGTCAGGCAGAAGCTGGAAACTGAACTTTGACCCACAGACATGTAGAGACTTTTCTCTACTGAATCACCTGGACATGACTTTAGCGCTTCTTACAAAAAGTAATACATTTACATGAATTATATATATATATATATATATATATATATATATATATATATATATATATATATATATATATATATATATATATATATATATATATATATATATATATATATATATATATATATATATATATATATACATATATATATATATATACATATATATATATATACATATATATATATATACATATATATATATATATACATATATATATATACATATATATATATATATATATATATATATATATATATATATATATATATATATATATATATATATATATATATATATTTATATATATATATAACTAGTTAACGGGTAGTTATAGTTTTAGACTAAAGGATAATTACAAGTTGAAAAATACAAATGTTTTAAATACCAACAACTCACCAACAGAAGAGGTCAAAATAAATATAATTCCGATGTATTTGTCGTATGAGTTGCACCAACAACGTTTATCTCCCATTTTAATGAATCCTCCCCTCTCCCTATTTCACACTAGTTAACACCCTTGAAACTCAGCTATAGTCGTGTGTAGTCGTAAAATATCATTGAACATCAAAAACACATGTATCTCACAACATCCACAGTGTGCAACAAAGTGGACACATTTTCTTAAGTGCTTGCTTAATTAATTAGGTCAACACACACTTGACTAAGATTTACTAAAAGTAGTTATACAATTAGATGTGTGACACGTGTGTTAGTTTCTTGTGATTAACTTCCTTCTTTAATCTATCTCAGTATACATTATAAGTCAATAATTTATGTCTATTTCTGAATGAGTCATTATGTAGGCTATGTTTGTATGTATGCATGTATGTATTTGCATGTAGGCTATCTATGGTTGCATGTCTTAATATATGTAATTATATCTAATATGTTATTATATCTAATATGTATCTATATCTAATATGTATCTATATCTAATATGTATCTATATTTATATGCAAGAATATCCATATATTCATGTGTGAATATGTATAAACACACATGTGAGTGTATGTGTTTGTCCTCTATACCTACATATGAATTGTTGTATGTCTATAATCGAGTTACATTTGCCTTTAAAATCTGATGGCTATTTTATCCCTAGGATGTGTGTAGATAGTGGTTCAGATACATGGCTAACATCTGGCTCTTATCAACGTACCGCCCAGAAGCTGCTCATCCATGCCCAAAAATCAGCTGATCTTTTAGACTATTAAGCCATTTTATTTTATTTTAAATCATGTACATCCGATAGCAGAGGGGGTGTATCAACTGTTCCGTCATGCACGCATGATTAAAGAAAGATTTCCAAACTCACCTTCATAATATGCACAGTCCAATACTACATTGGATGAAAAAAAAATATCCTGATATTTACAGTATAAGTAGACAGGTACACAAGTCGGGTTTCTTTCAGACATTTTTCAGGTGAGTGTGTTTGTTGAGATGGGGGGGGGGGGTACTTTTCAATTGGTCCAGAGCGGTGTTGGTAAGATGAACCATGCTTGACACTCTGCCCCCCCCCCCCCCCGATGAGATGCCTGTAAGAAACTTTACACACAAGTATGTTCGTATACATACACACAGTCTGCCGAAATTACAAACAGGAACAGACTCATTGTGTATGTAGGTATATTTATAAATTATTAAGTCATTTTAAACACAAATTGTTTTTGGATTGCGAATCAAGTGATATCTCCAAAAAAGGTTGAGTTAATCAATGAAAAAAATTACTTGACTTTTAAACCAATCCAAATTAAGTATTTAAACAACGTTAAATATTAGTCATATTATGTCTGCGAGTCGTATTTAAACGGTCTAAAAAACTGACGTTCACAAGTACAATGCACATTGATGTGTCCGTAAAAGGGGGCGGGAGGGGGGTTAGTTAATTCATGACGTAATGGTGTCCATATCTGAGTCAATTTGGTTAAGGGTTGGTCTGGGAAATGACTACTTGATCGTTGATTCAGTCGAGAGCACATCGTAGGTGTAGGCACATTTGATTCCGTTAGCAGCAACCTGTAGATTCACATTGTATTCATTCAGCACAATTAAGCAGAGGCGTAGCGAGGGCGGGGGGCGGGGGGACATATGTCTCCGGGCGCCGACCCTAGGGGGGGGGGGGGGCGCCAAATTGAAAGTTTGAGGGGGGAGGTGCAAATGAAAAGTTCGAGGGGGGGTGCAAATCGAAAGTTTGAGAGGGGGGATGCAATTGAAAAGTTCGAGGGGATGGTGCAAATCGAAAGTTTGAGGGAGGGGTGAAAATGAAAAGTTCGAGGGCGGGGGGTGCAAATCGAAAGTTTGTTCCCGGGCGCCGGGAAGGGTCGCTACGCCTCTGCATTAAAGTGTATTAAACTCATTTGATTTAGTCACCATCAACCTGAAAACTTAATCATATTTGATTCTGACTTCATCAACTTGTAAACGTATTCAATTCCAAATTGTAACATATTTAATACATTTAACAAATATATACATTAAAGGGTTTGAATAGTTAGATTTTTTTTTGTTAAAAAATATTTTTAGAAATAATTTTTTATTTTCTGATTTTGTTTTTAATAGTTGAAGTAATAAACTATTGTTGAGTCAAGCATGCACGAAAGGTTTCTAGTATTTTGTATCATACATTGGAGGTAAAACTTGAGTGTAGTCGCAAAACGTACCAATGTGACAAATTTGTAATAGATTTTGTATGTCGGGGAGAAGGGGGGGGGGGGTTCGCCCAGTGAAACTTACCACATAGCAACGCCTCAGTTACTCTCTCAACATTTTTAGATGTCCACAGGTAGCTTAACAAGAGCGATGTAAGAATACAGCGAGAAATAGGGTGGGGGGTTCACAGCATGCAACACACCACCCCGCGTCACAGCAGTACTCACCAAACATTTTAAGCATTCCACAACAGATACAGAAGATGACAAAGACCAGTGAAACTTACCACATAGCAACGCCTCAGTTACTCTCTCAACATTTTTAGATGTCCACAGGTAGCTTAACAAGAGCGATGTAAGAATACAGCGAGAAATAGGGGGGGGGGGGGGTTTACAGCATGCAACACACCACCCAGCGAGGCCGCGGTACTCACCAAACATTTTGAGCATTCCACAACAGATACAGAAGATGACAAAAACCACCACGAGGACGATAGAGAAGACCATCCAACTGTCTCCAAGGTCGATTTCAATGGTTAGTTGTACGTGGCCTAGTAAGGAGAGATAGAGATCTACACACTAATTGTCTTAGGTTAATTGCACGTGGCCTAATGGGGAGAGATAATCTACACAATAATTGTCTTAGGTTAATTGCATGTGAGAGATAAAGATCTACACACTAATTGTCTTAGGTTAATTACATGTGAGAGATAGAGATCTACACACTAATTGTCTTAGGTTAATTGCATGTGAGAGATAGAGATTACACACTAATTGTCTTAGGTTAATTGCATGGGTCCTAATGGAGAGAGATCTACACACTAATTGTCTTAGGTTAATTGCATGTGAGAGATCGGAAATCGGACCGGTAATTGGAATGCACGACATCCCTAGTCCAGAAGACCACCCCGTTATGATGTAAACCTGACTTTCGTGAAGCAAACGAAAATCGGTTGGGAATAGCAAAGTAAAAGTAAACAGTCATCTTGAGACATTTGGCAGATGAAGTAGAGTTCATGTTTATTCACATTGACATATTAAGTGAAGGTATGGTCAGAATTTTGCACAGCCGCCTTTACTTCCCTTAAATAGAGTTAGGTACCCATTAGAGCTGGGGGAACTCAGTGAGGGTATACTGACTTGAACTCGGATTCGAACTCGAGACTTTCTGGTTAACAACCTAGCGCTGTACCGCTTAGGTCACGTGATCGTATCGCTGGGCATTGTGCCAGTGGCGTAGGCAGGGGGTAGGGGGGGGGGGGGTTATAACCCCCTATAGACCCCTCGGTATATATATATAAGGTATAAGGGGAGGGGGTGCAAATCGAAAGTTTGAGGGGGGGGGGTTGCAAATCGAAAGTTTGTCCCCGGGTAAAAATTGGAACCCCCTCCTAGAGACGATCCTGGCTACGCCACTGCATTGTCCTAACCTTCATATACCGAGCTCAAGAAACAGGTAAACTCTACTTTTTGGATCACTTAGTCTGAAATGGGTTGCTCTACTTCACCATCGAATCAGCTCACCAAGTGTGAGGTTCTGGACGGCAGATCCAATGACGATAGACTTCGGCTCGTGAGATTCCTCATCGTGATTGACACTAATATCAGGGTGCACCTTGACGTAGAAGCAGGCGGTGCCGTGCTCGATGTTCCGGAACGGGTACCACGTCTCGCAGGTGGTGCGGTAGAGAGTCGGGTTGGTGTGGGTGATGGTGGAGTTGTATACCACGTCATCGACCCGTGTGTACTCGGACTGTGTGAGTAGAAGAAAAAACAACTGATGGATGAATGTTCTAGAACATGATGAGTGGTGTTTAGGCTTTAGAGGCGTAGTCAATGGCGGTCAGGGATAAATGGTGTCTAACATGATGAGTGGTGTTTGGGGATTAGAGGCGTTGTCAATGGAGGTCCAGGATGAATGGTGTCTAACATGATGAGTGGTGTTTGGGGATTAGAGGCGTTGTCAATAGTGGTCCAGGATGAATGGTGTCTGACATGATGAGTGGTGTTTGGGTTTGGGCATTAGAAGCGTTGTCAATGGAGGTCAGGGATGAATGGTGTCTGACCTGATGAGTGGTGTTTGGGCATTAGAGGCGTTGTCAATGGAGGTCCGGGGTAAAAGGTGTCTGACATGATGAGTGGTGTTTGGGCATTAGAGGCGTTGTCAATGGAGGTCCAGGATGAATGGTGTCTGACATGATGAGTGGTGTTTGGGGATTAGAGGCGTTGTCAATAGTGGTCCAGGATGAATGGTGTCTAACATGATGAGTGGTGTTTGGGGATTAGAGGCGTTGTTCAATGGAGGTCAGGGATAAATGGTGTCTAACATGATGAGTGGTGTTTGGAGATTAGAGGCGTTGTCAATGGAGGTCCAGGATGAATGGTGTCTGACTTGATGAGTGGTGTTTGGGGATTAAAGGCGTTGTCAATGGTGGTCCAGGATGAATGGTGTCTAACATGATGAGTGGTGTTTGGGGATTAGAGGCGTTGTCAATGAAGGTCCGGAATAAATGGTGTCTAACATGATGAATGGTGGTTGGGGATGAATGGTAACGGAGGATGGTGCTGTGTCTAACCAACCGGAAACCATTGTCACGAAAGTTATACCTTTTTTAAGGCTTTTATTTAGTTTGCTCGGTATGTTAGTGTGTGTGTGTGTGTGTGCGCGCGTGTGTGTGCATTTATGCGCGCGTGTGTATGTGTGTGTGTGTATGCGTGCGTGTGTGTGTGCGTGTGAGTATGTGTGTAGCTCCAGCAAATATTGGAATATAAATTTAATTAACTCCCACTCCCCATTTATCTATTGAGCTGAAATTATTTACAGTTGTAGATTTGGATAAAAACAAAACAAAAGTTAACATTATTATAATGACAATATTTTCTTTGGAACCTGCGCAGTTGTTTGCGACACTTAAATGCATGCTTAAACAATACCTTCAAAATAAACTGACTCTACCTCGCAATACCCAACTGTGATGGTAGTGGGACAGCAACTGTGTGACAATTGTTATATATAGCTGGTAAGTTAGTTTGATAAAGAGGTGACTCTATCGCGTGACACCCGCCTAAGATGCTACCTTGTGTTACTCACCTGTGATGCTAGTTTAATAAACAAGTTATTATCACGTGATACCCACCTTAGGTAAAGAAATAACTGATACAAAGTATATTAACTCGTGTTACCTATATGTGATATATACACAAATCTACCTTGTGTTACCCACCTAAGATGCTAGTTTAATAAAGAATTTTATTTTCTTTATATAAAGAATTTTATTTTCTTTTATATTGATACGTACCTGAGATATATACATAACTCTTTCTTGAGTTACTCATCTAAGATGCTAGTTTAATTTTTAAAAAGTGATTATCACGTGATACCTACCCGAGATAAATAAGCAACTCTACCTTGAGACGCCCACCTGAGATGCTGGTTTGATAAAGAAGTTATAATCACGTGATACCCACCTTAGATAAAGAAATAACTGATAATGAGTATATTATCACGTGGTACCTACCTGAGATTTATAAATACATCTACCTTGTGTTACTCAGATGAGATGCTAGTTTAATAAAAAAAAAAGTGATTGTCACGTGGTACCTACCTGAGATGTGAGTTTAATGAGGGAGCTATTGTCACGTGGTACCCACCTGAGATGTGAGTTTAATGAGGAGGCTATTGTCACGTGGTACCTACCTGAGATGTGAGTTTAATGAGGGAGCTATTGTCACGTGGTACCCACCTAAGATGTGAGTTTAATGAGGGAGCTATTGTCACGTGGTACCCACCTGAGATGTGAGTTTAATGAGGAAGCTATTGTCACGTGGTACCCACCTGAGATGTGAGTTTAATGAGGGAGCTATTGTCACGTGGTACCTACCTGAGATGTGAGTTTAATGAGGGAGCTATTGTCACGTGGTACCTACCTGAGATGTGAGTTTAATGAGGAAGCTATTGTCACGTGGTACCTACCTGAGATGTGAGTTTAATGAGGGAGCTATTGTCACGTGGTACCCACCTGAGATGTGAGTTTAATGAGGGAGCTATTGTCACGTGGTACATACCTGAGAAGTGAGTTTAATGAGGAAGCTATTGTCACGTGGTACCCACCTGAGATGTGAGTTTAATGAGGGAGCTATTGTCACGTGGTACCCACCTGAGATGCTAGTTTAATGAAGAAGTGACACACGGCGGGCGGGTACACGTTGGTGACCTCACACCTGGCATCCACTAAGCCGGTCTTGTCCGGGTTCATGGTCACATTGGAAATACACGTGGGCATTCGTTGGGGTAATACTGGGGGATAAAAATATACGTAGGCACATGTATGGTACACGTTTGCACATGTTTGGGTAATACTGGGAGATAAAAGTATACGTAGGCACATGTTTTGGGTAATACTGGGAGACAAAAGTATACGTATGCACTTGTTCGGTACACGTGGGGACATGTTTGGGTAATACTGGGAGATAAAAGTACATTTAGGCACATGTTTGGGTAATTCTTGGAGAAAAAATTATACGTTGACACATGTTTTGTAAATTTGGCACGTGTTTGGGTAAAATTGAGATATAAAATTAATCGTTGGCACATGTTTGTTACTTGTTGGCACATGTTTGGATCATACTGAGAGATACAATTATATGTTGACACACGTAGGCACATGTTTTATACACGTTGGCACATATTAGGGTAATATTGAGAGATAAAATTAATCGTTGGCACATGTTTGTTACTTGTTGGCACATGTTTGGTACACATTGGCAGGTGTTTTGTACACGTTGGTACATGTCTGATACACGTTGGCACATGTTTGGGTAATACTAAGAGATATAATTTGCATGTAGGCATAATATCTTGGTATGAATTTAGGAGATACAATTACCTATAGGCATACTTTGGTGTGATACTAAAATATATTATTATACGTCAGAATGTTTTGTGTTTTAGTTAGTGACTGACATATCCCATTCTGTAATATGTATTGAGTCTAGGCTGATACGTTAAGTTATTGTTTTGTTTTGTTTTCTTTGTTATCTTGATATCTGAAATTGATATGATAATATTTGAAATAATTTTGCTCATAGAGTGTACTAACGTTTAGTTATTGTTAATTTGAAAATTATGTTCTTTGCAAAAAAGTTTTAATGTGCGGCTATTTTCCAAAACATATGATAACACATTATTAAATATTGGATAATTAGTGTATTAGAATGATGGAATAAAAGATATACTACTCAATCTCGAGTGTGTTAAAATAGGCGTAGCAATAATATAGAAACGAAATAGGGTATGTCAACATTTAAAGCAGACCTATGAATCAAATTGTTAAGGAGAAACTATTTAGGAAATGTTTTTTTCACCAATTTTAAATTATGCGTTATCTCCCTTTACATTTTAAATTATTGTCATTATAGAAAAGCAATCGACTTCTCTATTTTTCATCACGTTAATTGTAATTGTATCAAGTACGAATTAGCCTCATCAACATGAATAAAGCTAGGATTATTTCCCTCCACCTCTCCCCATCAACTTATCATACACATGTATAAAGCATCGAGTTATACTCTACCATCCAAATATAAACATGCATCGATAATGGTTTATCCTCCACCAACCTACCATAAATATGTATTTGGATTATCGTCCACCAACCTACCCTAAACCTGTACTTGGTTTATCCTCCCCCAACCTACCATAAACCTCCACCAACCTACCATAAACCTCTTTTTTAATTACCCTCCCCCAACTTACCATAAACCTGTATTTTAATTACCCTCCCCAACCTACCATAAACCTCCACCAACCTACCATAAACCTGTATTTGAATCCTCCTCCCCAACTTACCATAAACCTGTATTTTAATTACCCTCCCCAACCTACCATAAACCTCCACCAACCTACCATAAACCTGTATTCGAATAATCCTCTCCCAACCTACCATAAACCTGTATTTGAATCATCCTCCCCCAACCTACCATAAACCTCGCCCAACCTACCATAAACCTCTTTTTTAATTACCCTCTCCCAACCTACCATAAACCTGTATTTGAATCATCCTCCCCCAACCTATCATAAACCTCCCCCAACCTACCATAAACCTCCAGCTTACACGTGAACAGCGTCTCTCCATCCGGCTGATCCTTGACACAGCTGAACAAAGTCTCGTGTGACTGGTTCCCCTTCCTGCTCACCCTGGGTATGACCAGCGTACTCATCCCGTTCGTCCTGTCCACACCGTACGTCGAGGTGGACGTGCACGTGGAGTTTCGACAGTGACCGACGATGACGTCACCTTGCTTCCAGAAAATATCCGTGGCGCTGCTGTTGCCGTCTAGGCAGGTGAAGTAGGCAATCTTGCCTTCCTCAGCAGGCTTGCAGGTCAGGTGGGCTTTTGCCGTTTGAAAAACAGTATAATTTAATGTTAAATAATACGTTATAAATCGGCAACACATCTTGATATTATTGAACTTTACAATTACTTTACTGAATACACGATAAGCTTAGTGATGTGATAGGACATTTTACTACATGATATTTAAAAAGTTGATTTTATTATTTTCAGTGGCGTAGCGAGGTCGTGTGTCACCCGGTGCGGCACTTAATGGTGTCACCCCCCCCCCCCCCACAGGCGTAACGACCCTTCCCGGGGACAAACTTTCAATTTTCGATTTGCACCTCACCCCTCTCAAACTTTCGATTTGCAACCCCCCCCCCCCCACTCAAACTTTCGATTTGTACCTCTTAAAGCACTATTTAACACTCGAATTAATCACTTAATTAAGTGGAATTATCATTTTTCTCTATATATTTTGCTATTTTTTTGCCTTTATGTCACCCCCCTAAATGGTGTCACCCGGTGCGATCCGCAACCTCCCCCTATCTACGCCTCTGAGACCACCTTATCCACTAGCATGTCCATGTCATTGTAACATACTTTCTACTTCAACTAGCTACCTATTGTGTCTTGGGCCCAAACGGGAAAAATATGAGTATAATATAACCAAAACAAGCAGGTATGAGACAAACGCGAATGCAACTCACCGACAGAGAGAAAACTCATCACAATTCCGAATAGGAACAAGATCATAGGTGGCGATGATACAAGTAAACTTTGTTATGTCTTGATTATACTCAGACTATATTCCAGCTTGGTGCAAAATGAATTTTTTTAACTCACGTATTCCAGCATGGTGCACAATGTTTTTTTGTTTTTTAAACTCACATTTTATGTGGCTTACAATCTCACACGAACAATACTATTTTAAAATATATATCATGTTAAAAAATTATAAGCTTATACTGTTTCTTTTACGCGTAAACTAATATAAGTCTGGGTATATATATATATATATATAAGTCTGGGTATATATATATATTTACTTTTGATACATGTAATGATTTGTGTAATGACTAAGATATAGGTTAGTGTAGTTGTAAATTGGCTCATACGCTTACATGTATATGTATATGTTATGATTTCTAACGACATAATGTAGAATATTAAGTAATGTTGACGACTAAATATAATACAAGAACATAATGCTAGTTGCGAATATAAAAAGAAAATGTAGACTCGTTACAGTACAGTTACTAGATCTAGATCTAGTTCCTATGCAGATTTCAAGAAGCTATGTATTACATATTAAATCATAGCTATGTTGATCTACTCTAGTTTAAACTTAGCTTAACTACCAAGTATTGATACGTTGGTGCACACAAGAAAATACTAACATAATTCCGTCAGCTAAAGTTTAGCGACCCTAAAATAGATTTCCAGTTGCGAATTAGATTTAATCAATCGACGCTCTTACTAAGTTAAATACAGCCTTTGAAATGAATTTTTGGACTTCCTTGAAAAAAAATAATAGTATGGCGCTATGTGGTGCAAACCAAATTTGCGATTACACTTGATATGAACGCGCACGAATAAGTGCGATACAGATATTTCGCTATTGTTTACACTATATTTTTCAGTCACAAACGTTTAGACCAACTGAAATGAAATAAGATCATTTGTGGTAATTACATTAGTCTTCCTCTTTTATTAATAAAATTATTGTGTTAAATAAACATTTTTAAAATAATTAACTTTAGTAAATGTAACCTCCAAATAACGAATACGAACTTTAATTTAATTACTTTAATTAAAATTTCCGAACTTAAAAACACATCTTACGTGTAAATTTACTGATAATGTTTTTGCTGGTAAGATGAATTTTTCTTTGTGGTGAACACATTTTATTTTCTTATATTTTTAAGTGATTTATTTTTTATATTAGGCATACTGAAGAAGTACTTTACATTTTTTTTTATTTCTAGGTTATCAACAACTTGAGCATCGCTTCAATTTGTTGGATGGTCATTTGAAATAACTGTTTGATAAGTACTGTTTCAATTTGGTAGACGGCACTTGATACATAAGTATGTAATCCCATACGTACCTCGATTATTAACAACTTTTGAGCCATTTACACAAACTGAAACTGTTACTTTATTTCCGATATCGTAAAAACATTTAGAATTTCATAATTCTACAGCTTGTTATTATAAAGAAACTCTTCTGTAAAATTATAGTCTTTTTGTTTTCTCCACACAAAACAAACAAACAAACAAACAACGAATGGTATAGTCATAAACTTACCTAGTATTATTATAGACAGGTTTAACTTTACCCCAGAGGTGTAGCGACCCTTCCCGAATCCCGAGGACAAACTTTCAATTTGGCGCGCCCCATGTGAGCAAATTTTCCATTTGCACCCCCCTCAAACTTTCGATTTGCACCCCACCCCCCCCCCCTCAAACTATCTATAATGCAAAAATACAGCTAAAATGACATTTTAATTTGTTTTTACAACTCATTTTGGCGCCCCCTAAGGTCGGCGCCTAGGGACATATGGGCCCCCCCCCCCATCGCTCGGCCTCTGCTTTACCTTTTTTGTTAAATAATAGTATGCATACAAGATTATTGGAGATCACGCCCAATGTATTTCTTTTTACTAGCAGTAAAAAAACGGATTTGTTTAAGTAAATGGTTTCTTTTTCAAAGTTACATTTTGTCTTGTTTAGGTTTTTGTATTATAACAAATTTAACAAACAACAAAGAAGCCATGATGGTTCTTGTGACATAATTGAATACTGTTTTTATTAAAATAAATGATACATTTGTTTGTGAAAACTACTACAAAAATTGATAGTCCTGTGCATTAACGACAATTAAAAGAATAAATAAATTAAACATCATTTTAAAAACAATTAAAAAAACACTTTTTAAAACTAAGTTAGTAAAATTAAAATCTACAATGTTTCACAATACAGGGAAAAAATAAAACATATATTTCAAATTAAAATTGTTATGGCACGTACAAAATGTATACACTATTCAATTTGTGCAAAACAATTGCAAAATAACAATAACAAACGATTATATTAGTTCATTGATCAAAGCGAAATTTTAAAATTTCTTTCTTGCGTTCCTTATAATTGATTCCTTAGTGCCAACAGATATCTACTATACTAAGTTTTCCTTTGTATAAAACTAATTAACACGTTTTAAATCGTCATTCAGAAATACAATTTTTATTTTAAATTAATAAATCGCGGTGGTCTTAGTGTGCTTAACACGTAATAAACTGTGTGTTAAAATAAACAAACATAAACACACTCATACACGAACACACACAAACACAAGCACATACACTCACACACACACACACACACACACACATATATATATATATATATATATATATATATATATATATATATATATATATATATATATATATATATATATATATATATATATAGACAAGCAATCATTACATTCATAGTTTAAACAAAATTAGCTGTTCAGTTAAAATTTAACTTTGGAATTTAGCATCTAGATTTTAGTTTATATACATTTGTTAAAAAAGAAAAGAATGGCTTTTATTGTAAAATTTAGCTTTGTAATTCTAAACAAACATTGTAAGATTTATATTTGTTCGACCAAAAAACGCTCTACGACTCAACTTGCTGTTGATCAACCATCTCTATCTCACTATCTGAAATGGAGAGAATAGAGGTAAAAACAACTTCGTTATTATGTTTCTTTAAAATATTTTTTAGTTACAAATCTTCAGGAACAATTGTTACCTTCTGTATACTTAAATTTATCAAATTATATATATATATATATATATATATATATATATATATATATATATATATATATATATATATATATATATATATATATATTAACATATATTAAGAAGAATTGTATTTAACATTTGGACTATATTTTTATTATTAAGATAATAATGTGCACATGTTGTATACTATAATGAATCAAATTAATTATCTATTCTGTTACACATCCATCGTATATTAAGAAGACTTTTATTCTTAACATTTTGCATTTTATTTTTTTTAAATATTTAAAAGTCTACAAATATGTGTCTACATTGGTAAAGTAATAAACGTCACAAATGTTATCCGAGCTGATTGAAGTCACACGGTAAAATAATTTTATGCGACCCTATACTGCTAGATAATGATCAATCCCTTCCTGATATAATAATACAATTAAATTGTATCGCAAATGTCAATATTTATCCTGAAACAAAAGTTCAATTTCTTATAAATTAAATTAATGAAATATTATCTCGTCTATCAATATTTACACCCACTCAAATTTTCAACTTTTCAAATCACAAAACTTACATATTTTCGTGTCCGTTGTTTCTCTGGTGCCAGACTGTGCATTTGTTTTGTACTATTTCGAATACAATACACAGATATTAATTCCAAGACACACTTTAATGTGTTAAAGACTAAATAATCAATAATTACTGACTAAAAACAATGTGCAAGTTTCCTTTAATAAACATACCCTGCCACTGTTAAAGACTAAAGAATTAGCAATGATTTACTAAAAACAATGTGCAAGTTTTCTAAAATAAACATATCCTGCCACTGTTAAAGACTAAAGAATTAGCAATGATTTACTAAAAACAATGTGCAAGTTTCCTATAACGAACATACCCTGCCACTGTTAAGGACTAAAGAATTAGCGATGATTTACTAAAAACAATGTGCAAGTTTCCTATAATAAACATACTCAGCCACTGTTAAAGACTAAAGAATTAGCAATGATTTACTAAAAACAATGTGCAAGTTTCCTATAACGAACATACCCTGCCACTGTTAAGGACTAAAGAATTAGCGATGATTTACTAAAAACAATGTGCAAGTTTCCTATAATAAACATACTCAGCCACTGTTAAAGACTAAAGAATTAGCAATGATTTACTAAAAACCATGTGCAAGTTTCCTATAATAAACATACCCATCCACTGTTAAAGACTAAAGAATTAGCAATGATTTACTAAAAACAATGAGTACTTTTCTTAAATTGAACATACCCCGCCGCTAGAGACATTGCTGTACTTCTGACTGTAATCCATGGATGATGCCGTGATTCGACGATGTAACGACTTGATACCATCTCTTACCTATAAGAGGCGAATTGGATTAATCAAACTATTTCCCATATAGCAGTAAAATGCTAATTATGTTTTGAATTATCTGATTGGTTGTGATTGATATGACTCTATTTTTAAAAGCAAATATCAAAACTTTTTATTTTGTTTTACAATACAAACTATATTACAATACAAACGATTTTACTATACAAACTATTTTACAATTCAAAATATAGGCTAATTTAGACCCATTGTAAAAATGTTATATTTGCATATATTTTTATATTTTATGATTATTTATCGTTGATGTGAATCTATTCCAGTGCAAAATGGGTTTTCAAATACTAGAAAGCAATTATATGTAAAATATAAAGGGGCGTACATGTTGTGTTATGGTTTATATCAAAACCTAAAGAAATTATACTTAAACTTTAAAAAAAAATTAACAATCCTACCTACAGGCTAATGTAAAAATAAAATTATAATGAAAAGGTACACTAAAATAATTACCTGGTACTGTAGCACACATTGGAAGATAAAGATGGACAAGCCCTGAATTAAATAAACATGAAAAATGTTTGAAAATGCATATCACATTGCCAAAAAAACAATTCGATCAAATAATTAAATGACTTATTTTTTTATTTAATTTTTACAATGAGAAATGTACTTTGACATCAAAACACGTAGGCAAAATATAACAGAAAAATGTACATTGTTGAACATAGGTTTAAAATAATTTTCCAGTAATTATAATTCCACTGTTTGTTTTTATATTTCGAAGTATTAACCACACTTCTGGTTTTGTTATGTTTCTCATTTGATTAATCACTCTAGTTTTTATATTATTCTGATGAATTAATCACAGCACCTACCTGTAAGGAGTTGCACAATGCAAACAGGTAATGGAACACGGGGTTATCGCTACTGATGGACACGATGCCAAAAACCCAGGTGACGCCTAGTATGGGGGATAGCACCAGGATTGACCACATCACTGACCTATGAATATGGACAAATAATAAACATTTCTGAAACAGCAAAATGACTGGACATTTGCATAAAAACATAATTAAGTGTGAAAATGATAAATAAGCATGAAGTAACACAATAATAGGACATATTACTGGCATAAAAGTATATTCGAATATATCAAATTGTATTATTTCAAAAAAATCACAATAAGTTGAATCGGGTTTAAGTTTGAGATTACATATGATTATATTTCCCTTAATGAAGTATGTAAACTAAATGCATAAAATAATAACATGCACTGAATTTAATTTAACAAATGAGATATTCAATATTGTTTTGAATGGCTGGTCTATTATTTTGATCACGTAGACTATTTTTACACATGTTTTGTAAATATTATTACAAAATATTGATACGAGTTCAATAAATTTAGTTAAGATCCAGCGATAACGATATCATTTGATTTATCAAATCTATTGTACACTCAATTTAAACATTACTTCGTTCTCTGTTTAAGATCTTTGTCCATCATAACACGAGAACCCTGCATGACTCTCAACACAATGAAAAGGATGATGAAGTTAAACTGGAATATGAAGAAACGTTTTGTTTTACATGGTAAGTGATTAAATTAATGAATACAATCAAAAATAATCTAGACGAAAAAAAACGGATGACGTAGTTAAACTGGAAGTTGAAGAGACATATTTTTAAAAACATTAATTAATTAAATTTAATAAATACAATCACAAATCATTAGGATGAAAAAAAAACCAGATGATGAAGTTAAACTGGAATATGAAGTAACATTTTTTAAAATGGTAATTAATTTAATTAATGAATACAATTAAACATAATTTAGACAAAAAAAACTGGAAGTTCAAAAAACATATTTCTAAAAACATTAATTAATCACATTTAATAAATACAATCACAAATCATTAGGATGAAAAAACCCAGATGATGAATTTCAACTTGAATTTGAAGAACATGTCAACAAAAACGGGATAATTAATTAAACCAACATATAATTATAATTCAGTTAGAAGGAAAATATTAGGATAATTAAACTGAATATTGATAATGCGGGAAACAAAAAAAAAGAATGCAGGTAATGTTAATTAAATTAACATGTAAACGTATATATATTTTAACAACGATTGGTAATGTTAGACTGAAATTAAAAGTGTAACAATGAAAATAAACCAATGAATATAAAGCATGTCATAATTTTGATCAATAGAATAATAAAAAATCAACTGTATAAATTTTAGCATAAAAATAACCAAAGTTATTAAAATTAAATGTAAGCATAAAAATGAGTTTTCCTTTATTTAAAAAAGTATCAGTTTAACAAATGTAACAAAAAAAACAATTACCAGCAAGATTAGCATAACGGGTCCAGCGAAAGCCCAAATAACGCCATTTTCAGGGGACAACCAACAACTGAAAAGAGTAAGTAAAAGCTGATATAGAACTTTATTTCATTGTAGTATCAAATCGTATTAATTTATCTTAATTAATATACGCCTAATTCTAGATAATTCCAAATAAAAGTTTAAAAATAAATTGTTATTTAATATATACTGCTACTCATTATATCATAAACCAATGATTTCACAAGTAATACAGTTTTTAGCCGATTTTTACCGTATTAGGAATCTCAATTCGGATCAATTCAAACGTTAATACGATAATCTTTATCTACTTACGCTCGATCCGTCCCATATCCTACAGTTTGTGTTGATGCAAGGGAGATAACCACAATAATAAGCGGAGCTCCTGAAAAAAAAATATCGTAACAAATTAATTCTATTATTAAATTAATTGTAGTAAATTATGTTCTATTCAGAGACACAGTTATTAGAAATGTTGATCGGCATGCGGAAACTTCGTTGTTTTTTTTAATATATTCAGGTATGTTTTGTTAAAAGGAGAATTAATAAAGCTTGGTGTTTCAGATGTGTAAGAAACTTAAAGTACTAGTACTAAATACTTGAACCGGTCAAAGAGAATCTTCGCTAGTCTGTTTTACAAACTTAAAGACACTGTTACATCTCAGAAACAGTGTAGTATAAATGATTGCTACACAAGAAATAAACTATCCAACAAAATCGCTATTAAAATAAACGAATTACAATACACCACGTCTTGTAAATAGATACATTACCGTACAACAACATTGTGAATAGACAACTTACAGTATTTCACATTTAAGAAATAGACACCTTATAGTTTAACACAGCTAGTAACTAGACAAATCGCTCTACATCACGCCCAGTAAATAGACAACTTACCGTACATTACACCTAGCAACTAAACAACTTACCGTACATTACACCCAGTGAATATAAAACTGACCAAACATCAGACCTGGAACATAAACAACTTACCGTACATTACACCTAGCAACTAGATAACTTACCGTACATTACACCCAGTGAATATAAAACTGAACACACATCAGACCTGGAACATAAACAACTTACCGTACATTACACCCAGTAAATATAAAACTGACCACACATCAGACATGGAACATAAACAACTTACCGTACATTACACCCAGTGAATATAAAACTGACCACACATCAGACATGGAACATAAACAACTTACCGTACATTACACCCAGTGAATATAAAACTGACCACACATCAGACATGGAACATAAACAACTTACCGTACATTACACCCAGTGAATATAAAACTGACCACACATCAGACATGGAACATAAACAACTTACCGTACATTACACCCAGTGAATATAAAACTGACCAAACATCAGACCTGGAACATAAACAACTTACCGTACATTACACCTAGCAACTAGATAACTTACCGTACATTTACCCAGGGAATATATAACTGACCACACATCAGACATGGAACATAAACAACTTACCGTACATTACACCCAGTGAATATAAAACTGACCACACATCAGACCTGGAACATAAACAACTTACCGTACATTTACCCAGGGAATATATAACTGACCACACATCAGACATGGAACATAAACAACTTACCGTACATTACACCCAGTGAATATAAAACTGACCCCACATCAGACCTGGTGTATAAACAACTTACCGTACATCATGGCTATGAGATACTTAAGGATGGAGGTCTGTTTGACTGACGTGACCGACTTAAGTATGAGAAGACCCTGGGCCAACATGATGAAAAACACCGTCTGGAAAATGTAGTGCAGTAACGCAGCTACTATCGTACAACCAACCTGCAACATTGGAATCAGGATTCATATTGTTGTACTATATGTAGTGCAAATTAAGCACTTTTTTTAAAAAAATTAATTTCTGTACAATACGTATTGTGCTGTAATTATCATTTTTCTAGTACTATTATGTCATATATAATTATGTTTCTAATTTTTTTTTTAAATAAGTATCTAATTTAGTTTAACTGGCTATAATATTATTACCCTTGCTAAATGTCTACTTAAAATCGTATATATATATATATATATATATATATATATATATATATATATATATATATATATATATATATATATATATATACATATATAGATACATATTTATATACATACATATATATATATATATATATATATATATATATATATATATATATATATATATATATATATATATATATATATATGTATATAGATATGTATCTATATATGTTTATATATATAAAGAGAGAGAGAGGCACATAGACCTGTAATGCTTGTTGTTGGTGTAAAAATATGTGCATTTCTAATCCTCCATAACAGTAGTACAATCATGTATTATATCTTCGTTTGTTATTAACAATTGTTGTAACCTACCTTGTTTTTTGTTTCGTTGACACCAATCAGGAAAATAATGTACCCAATGGCTAACGTTATACTCAGGTTCAAATGTAGAACCGATCGATCGCTTTTAACGTATCTGGAAATGTTCACGAGATGAACATTATATTTCTAATAATATTCATAAGTTACAAGTGGCATACAGATTGATTGGATATAGATTGAAAAAAATGTAAGAAGTAAAATTATATTTCAAAATATGATTGGTGGTCTTTATGTTTTAATCTTAAATCTTTTAAATGCAACTTTTGCTTTACGATTTATTAAAAATCTTGATCTTTTTAAAAACTATTTTATTTCATTCTTCAACTGGTTATGCGTCATTGAGGCAATTGACTCCAATTTCAGCCTGCTTTTCTTTTTGGATTTGCTTCCATAGCCTTTGTCCAAAAAAGAACAAACTACAAGGCAGCAGTTGTTTAATTTTGGAGTTGTCTCCCCAGAAGAGCGACTGGCCCAGCCAACGAGCCTTATCTGCCCAATGATTCTAACTCTAGACTTTTCAGTTTAGCAACAATGAGCTTTACCGACTCGGCCACCCATTTATTTTCATTAAATTCGGTTATTATGTAACGATCTCATCAATAACATGAAAAATGTTCATGTATACTCTTAGATAATAAACTTTCAAATGATATAAACAAAAACTGACCTCCAGAGTACAAAATACACACACACTGTTGTGCCCAAACAGATGATTGAAATGATGCAGCCCACATAAGATATTCTGCTGATTATTTCATGATGGATGGACTGAAATTATAAATGGTGAGTTTAATATTTTATGTTATACATTTCAAAATAAAAAAATAAAATTTGAATTAAAATTGTGAAGATAGTTCGTTTGGATTCAGACGTATATCAATCTCATATATATATATATATATATATATATATATATATATATATATATATATATATATATATATATATATATATATATATATATATTTAATTCGGTGTCAACCCAAAATATTGTTACAAATGCGGAAAAACTATATGCTCTGTGTCGCTACTGTACATAACACCATACACTTTAATGTTACCTCAAAGTTTTGGCTGTGTTGCTACTGTACATAACACCATATAATGTAATGTTACCTCAAGGTTGTGGCTACTGTACATAACACCATACACTTTAATGTTACCTTAAGGTTGTGGCTACTGTACATAACACCATATACTTTAATGTTACCTCAAGGTTGTGGCTACTGTACATAACACCATACACTTTAATGTTACCTCAACGTTGTGGCTACTGTACATAACACAATACACTTTAATGTTACCTCAAGGTTGTGGCTACTGTACATAACACCATACACTTTAATGTTACCTCAAGGTTTTGGCTGTGTTGCTAATGTACATAACACCATACACTTTAATGTTACCTCAACGTTGTGGCTACTGTACATAACACCATATACTTTAATGTTACCTCAAGGTTGTGGCTACTGTACATAACACCATACACTTTAATGTTACCTCAACGTTGTGGCTACTGTACATAACACAATACACTTTAATGTTACCTCAACGTTGTGGCTACTGTACATAACACCATATACTTTAATGTTACCTCAACGTTGTGGCTTCTGTACATAACACCATACACTTTAATGTTACCTCAAGGTTGTGGCTACTGTACATAACACCATACACTTTAATGTTACCTCAAGGTTGTGTCTGTGTTGCTACTGTACATAACACCATACACTTTAATGTTACCTCAAGGTTGTGGCTACTGTACATAACACCATACACTTTAATGTTACCTCAAGGTTGTGTCTGTGTTGCTACTGTACATAACACCATACACTTTAATGTTACCTCAAGGTTGTGGCTTCAGTACATAACAACATATACTTTAATGTTACCTCAACGTTGTGGCTACATTACATAACACCATACACTTTAATGTTACCTCAAGGTTTTGGCTGTGTTGCTACTGTACATAACACCATACACTTTTGTTACCTCAACGTTGTGGCTACTGTACATAACAACATATACTTTAATGTTACCTCAAGGTTGTGGCTGTGTTGCTACTGTACATAACACCATATAATGTAATGTTACCTCAATGTTTTGGCTACTGTACATAACACCATACACTTTAATGTTACCTCAAGGTTGTGGCTGTGTTGCTACTGTACATAACACCATATAATGTAATGTTACCTCAATGTTTTGGCTACTGTACATAACACCATACACTTTAATGTTACCTCAAGGTTGTGGCTGTGTTGCTACTGTACATAACACCATATAATGTAATGTTACCTCAATGTTTTGGCTACTGTACATAACACCATACACTTTAATGTTACCTCAAGGTTGTGGCTGTGTTGCTACTGTACATAACACCATATAATGTAATGTTACCTCAATGTTTTGGCTACTGTACATAACACCATACACTTTAATGTTACCTCAAGGTTGTGGCTGTGTTGCTACTGTACATAACACCATATAATGTAATGTTACCTCAATGTTTTGGCTACTGTACATAACACCATACACTTTAATATTACCTCAAGGTTGTGGCTACTCATGAGAACGGCGAAGTTAGTCAGATGATCACAGCTACACTTTGTGATATTGCCATCAAACATTGTCCTTATACATCCCTCAGTGGACCACTCGCTGTACAGAAAATATCGTCAATTTAATTATTAAAGAATACTTAGCAACATGTGTTACGTTAAATAAATAGTCATCATCACCAGACTGCATGGGACGGCGTGGTCCAAGCGGTAGCGCACTAGGCCGCTAACCCGTGGTCTCAAATTCGAGTTCATGGCAGAATTATCTCCCTGAGTCCACTCAGCTCTAATGGGTACCTAACCCATGTTAGGGAAAGTGAAGACGGCTGGGCAAAGTGCTGATCATACCTTAACTATATTTACCAAATTCTTTACTTTTTCTTTCTATATCTAAGCTACACTTATTGTTGTTGCATTGCAGTACTACAATTTGTATTTTATTTTTCAAACGTAGTCTACAATTTATTATTTTAATAATATATATATATATTTTTTAAATCTATAGAAATTGAAACCTACTTCCGTGTTGTGTTAAGAAATGAACAAATTGGATCAGTGACGTTTTTCTAAAATGATTGAAAAAAAAGCAAAATATCAATAATTGTAACAGATAATCTATAATTAAAAAATAACGCAAATTAAAAACATGATTTTATTGAATGTTTACCTTGTTTATGTAAAACGTCAATTCTACAGGAGTGCTAAGTTTTGTGTATTCATGACTCAAACTAAAGGAAATGACGTCAGATGAAATGTAGGTCGTCGCCACATTAGACTCGGGACTGAAATTTATTTTGAATACAAATTGTATTTAAACATTCAAACAAATATTATTTGACACGACATAAAAACAATTTAAAAATAAGTAAAAAAACAACATTAACACATTACCGTATTTCGTCGGAAAATTTTGCCTGAAATTTATCCGATACATTTCTGTAGATAATGATAGAATATGTGGCATTTTCTGAAATTGTAAGAAAATAACTATTTAAAAATTTATTAGCTCAGCTAACATTACTTACATAATTTATTTCACCAACCAATCCTTACACAACACACATTTTCATCAAGAAGTGTTTACACTATATTATAATTGTAAATAATGAGCTTTCTTTCCCAATATATTTAGTCAAAATTATTACCATTAAAAGCTGTCTTGTTGAGAAAAATTTTGTTTCCAGTTGTCTCTACCCATTTTTCTTGATTGTTTTGGTTTGAATTTTTGGGAGGAAATTCAATATGGTCTCTAGCTCTATCTATTTTGATAGCTTTAAATCAAATGTTTTGAAACTTTAGCACTAGCATATATATATATATATATATATATATATATATATATATATATATATATATATATATATATATATACATATATATATATATATATATATATATATATATATATATATATATATATATATATATATATGTGTGTGTGTGTGTGTGTGTGTACGAGTGGGCATGCAAATACATTTATTTAAATATGTAATTATACATGTATATATATTATGTTCATATATAAATTATAATATATATATATATATATATATATATATATATATATATATATATATATATATATATATATATATTCGCATAGTATGCACAATTTATCAACATTGAAATAGATAAGTTGAGTATAAATTCAGTTGGAAAAAGTAATTAATAGCCAAATTGAAAGGATGTGTAATTTTGGAAAAAAAAATATCCATATACATACCGACATTTTGTTCGACTATGTATACTTCATCACCCGTCATGTTTCTCATAAACGTATTGGTCACCTCCTCCATTGCGATGATGAGCTTGTTCCCTGTGTCCCCGTGAGTTGTCTCAGTGTTTGTGTCCACCCACTCCCGTTGGTCAGCAGAGATGATCTTGTCGGTGATGTTAGCTACTTTCTGAAGCAGACAAGTTTCATTTATTATAAAAGTGTATATATATATATATATATATATATATATATACATATATATATATATATATATATATATATATATATATATATATATATATATATATATATATATATATATATATATATATATATATATATATATATATATATACTTATATATATATATATATATATATATATATATATATATATATATATATATATACAAACATAATATATATAGATGTATAATTACATATTTAAATAAATATATGTAAATGCACACTCGTACATATATATATATATATATATATATATATATATATATATATATATATATATATATATATATTTATTTATTATATATATATATATATATATATATATATATATATATATATATATATATATATATATATATATATAGTTGTTTTTCAAATATATATAAATATAACAACTGTTTGAAATTCCAGCATACATGGTAAAAAGGCATTTAATTTGTGATAGTTAAAATCTTGCAATTACCTTTAATGTATCTTGGCTTATACTGACTGAGGTATCATCGGTTGCCTTGCCTATTTCGCTCAAAATGTTGACAACAGATTTTATATCTCCCGATATAATTTTTGCTGAAGCGGGTAGCGACTGAGTAACTAAAGTAGTCACATTAGAAATGGTTTCAGTTTTTCGAGAGCTGTCTGTGACGTCCTGTAAGTGTTTTATCTGTGGAAATGAAAACATAAATTACAAGTTAAAATAATATTGATCTAAACCTCATCATTTGTATTTATGTATTTTTATTATGTATTATATATGTATATATATATATATATATATATATATATATATATATATATATATATATATATATATATATATATATATATATATATATAGTATTGAACAATTATTTCATTGTTTATTGATAATTTAAAATTAGCATAAAAATAAAATTATGAGAAAATTCTATCTTTAAGTGATATACCCATCAAAGCTGGTTGGCTCAATTACGTCCTAAAGTTACAACTCCGAACCTAGATCCGAACTCGAGACATTCGGGCTCGAAGCCAAACATTCTACCATTCAACCACACCGTCTAATACAATTTATGGAACACGCTTCTCATCCGTGATAAACATAGTACATACATTTAAAAAAACAAATAACAATTAATATGTAATAGTAAGTGTGAAATGCACAGGCGAGTCATGTTTATAGGCCCTACCTGTTGAATGGCGTTAAAAAGTTGCACGGCCGTACAGTTGCTTAAGTTTATAGGACCCCACTGTCTGTTGGACTGGCAAAGTCTCGTAACGTTACCTGTATAAGATGTAAACATATTCTTAAAGGGACATAACTATAACATTAACTACATTTGCTTTTTAAAATTTGTTGAGTGAAGTCTTTATCTAAAATATATTAGTTAAGTGAAGTTTTCTTTAAAATCTTAAATTTATAAAACTTTCTAAAACGAAATTTGTTTAAAGTTAGTCTGTTTTGAGCTATGGCATTTTTCTAAAAAACGCCATATTTTAAAGGTGCCTAGTAATTAAAATAACTTTCTATAACTATATCTTTTAGAAAAATTTGAAGATTTTCCTAAATATCAGTCGATTGATTAATCTCCGTCTATTTCCACCTCGAAATAAAAGCGTCAATTGCAAATAGATCTAGATCATGGGTCGGCAACCTGCGGCTCGCGAGCCGCATGCGGCTCTATTGGTGTCGAGTTGCGGCTCTTCAGCTCCATGCCCAAATATTAACAATTATTTTAATTTCAAAACTCATAAAAAATATTAGTCTGCAACACTCGGTAATAAACGATATAACAATAGATATAAACAATAAACATTCACTATTATATAAGAATATTTAGTTACTCCCTATCTCAATGTACTTCCTATCCTATTACATTGTCCATTCCGAATTTAAACATCAAACTTCATAGTGGATATCACAAAGAAACTAAACCAGCTAAGTATAAAACTGAAAGGATAACCAAGCATATGTCTTGTTTGAAGAAGTGCTTTGTTTCGAAAAAAAAACGTTTTTGTTGTTGCTTACATGGTGAGCGGTATTTTACTTAATTACGAAAATCTTTTTAAAAATATCGTTATGAAACCAATGCTACTATTCAATCACTTTAGCATTAATAAAAACAAAATGAAGGATGTTTTCACTGAGAGATGTGAGCTATTCAAAACAAATGCAAGTACTCTGACTTACATAGAAGATCCTCTCAAAACAAATGAGATTATTTCATATATTCAAAGCTATTTATTTAAAATTACATATCTATATATATAATTCTCTTCTGGGAGCCGTTAGAAAACAAGCTGCACCTCCTTGCAGTCCCCTCTCTTTCTCTCTATCACTATCACTAACACCCCCAACCCACCCCCACATTATCTGGTGAGCGGTGTTCACTCTAAATGTTTTCAAAGCTAAATGTTTACAAATCGTAGAGCAGTAGAGCCGGGTTTTTATTAGGGGCAAATATTTTAGTTCGATTTTAAACTTACAGGAGGTAACTAAGAAATAACTAAGAGGAGGCTGCTTTCACGGGGGGGGGGGGGGATGTAGGGTCGGGGTTAGGGGAAAGGGGGGGGTAGTGTTTTAAAGCAAATATTTTCAGTGGCAGCATTGGTACTGTCGAATTCACAAATTATGAATTACTGAAAAGTAGAAAATAAAACAACTATATAGCGGCGTATGATACGCTGCGGGTCGGCTCGTATAATATATTTGTTTAGGATTATATATATATATATATATATATATATATATATATATATATATATATATATATATGTATGTATGTATATATATATATATATAATCCTAAACAAATATACTATTGACATAAAAATGATAGTGGCTCTTTAAAAAATGTGTATTGTTGAAAATTGTAACTTTTGGCTCTTTAGACTCCAAAGGTTGCCGACCCCTGATCTAGATCTTCTATGTGCATTCAAACGATACTATGAACTTGATAGTTAAAACTTGCTTCAAGACTTAGAACTTTTGAACTTAGACTTTATTTTTATTTCGGCCACGCTGTCTCCATTATTTTCTTTTTAAAGAAAACAGTAAGCGACCGATATGTATAGTGTTTGTTTCTCTTTTAGTCTTTTAATTGAAACATTGCTGACTTTAGATTATAAAAACAATCTATTATTTAAAAATAAACCTTCTAGCAGGGCCGGCGCTACCTATAAGGCAAACTGGGAGGTCGCACTGGAAGCTATTAAAAAAAAAGGGGGGGGGGGGATTGTGTAATCTAATTTATTAAAAGGTACCTATAAATTAATAACTTGGATTATAATATATACAAAAAAATTGTAATATTCAAAACCGTGGATATTTATTTCGGTGCCTATGATAATCTATTAAATTAGGCGTTATTAAAAATGACCCCCCCACCTCCCTAATTTGGAAAGGTAGGATCGCTTTTTACCAGTCACTTTGTCTTTTTGTTTTGGTGTCATGCAATTGACGTAGAAAACAATTTCATAAGTCAGTAATGCCAAGTGCCAATCAACATTGTTAATTTCGACTGAATATAATTTAGTAATGAGCTTTTTTATATTATTATCTACAATTTATGGCGCCCCCGTTGGGTCGGCAACTGTGGCGGCTGCTGGACCCGCCCTCCCCTAGCCACGCCTCTGTGGGGGTAGGAGGGGGGACTTTTTATTGTTATCCCAGTGTGTTAGAGAACCTGTCGCCGGCACTGCTTTCTAGATTTGCAAGCGTTAGATAAAATTGTTATTCTTTCATGTGTTACTATTTTTTTCAAGTTCATAAAATAATGTACTGATTATTAATGTGTAATGTTTGTATGTTTATTCATTATGTATTGGTATAAACGTGACATTAATGTAATTAATGTCATTTTAAAATGTAATCAAATTATGTATTGGATCGTTGAAAGAACGACATTGTATTGTTTAAAGTTATTTTCAGATGTTTTTCCTATGATATGATAACGTTTGGAATTAATGACTATGTATGTATACAATTATCTATAATTTTGAATCAGAGTTTTGTTTAGGGTCATGGTATGCAGAACTGTAATAACACAGCCCTATCAGAAACAAATCATCAAAATAACATGTCTTGTCGTAAAGCTTAATTTATACTTGCAGAACTAATGTAATTATAAATATTGTCATTTAAAAATAATAGCGTTAATTCCGGGTTGTCGAACAGTAACAATTAAAAACAAGTTAATTAAAAAAGTCTAGTGACATTTATGCGCAATTTCCTTATGTTATCTAAAAATAGCTCTGACGTATAATGTTGGGGTGCGTTCAAGCTAGAAGAACGATCGGTTTGTAGGTGTTTATGTAATTTTAAAATTTGTGACCGAACGAGAGGATATTTTTGAAAACTTTCTTCGGCAATATTGTTCTAAATTATGGCAGGAATCTATTGGTACATGTTTCAAGTCGCTAAGTGGTCTGGTTGCCGAGATATGGGCCAAAAACTGATTTTTTTCGAGGTTTTTTGGCTTTTCCGGGAAATACATGAAAGAAACCTGGAATTCTTATGGCCTATGCTCATTCTCGTAACTTGCTTAACATAATTGCTTTTGGAACTAGTCATCGATATTGCTTCGTTGAGGAGGAGATACGACTTAAAGCCCGGACACACATTCATCCATACATTCATTCATTCATCCATCCATTCCCAGAAATGACGAGTTAATAAACGCAATTCTCCAGAATGGAAATTGCGCTAAAAATGTAAATGAAAAAAAAAACAGATTAGAGAACCTCAGTGGCGTAGCAACCCTTCCCGGCGCCCGGGGCTACATTTTCAATTTTGGCATCCCCTCGGGAACAACCTTTCAATTTTCAATTATTTGCACCCCGCCATCATACTTTCAATTTTGCACCCCCCCCCCCCTTCCTCAAACTTTCAACGTGTTTTTTTTCCAACCCATTTTGGAGCCCCCTAAGGTCGGCGCCCGGGGACATATGTAGCCCCCCCCCCCCCCCATCGCTACGCGTCTGGAGAGCCTAACATATACAAGTGCTCACATCAAGTTGTCATAAGGACATACGTTTTTAATCATTTACAAACACGTGTCCAACACGAGGAGACGCCACTTAGCTTTAAACTTCCGCAATTAATGTTTTACTTACTTAACGTTTTTTATACGGAATTTACTTTCCTTATTAATTTAGCAATTAGCATATTCCTACTTTACTATTTATTATTTTTTATACGTGATTTACTTTCAATATATATCTGAAACAATGTGCAAATTAATATTTTAAATACTTTACATTTTTAAATGTGATTTACTTTCTCCATTAAATCAACATTTTGCACATTAAAACTTTTCTATTAATTTGTATACGTGATTTAGTTTCCCTATTTATGTAGCAATGTGCATATACATACTTTATTTGCTTTACATTATCAATGACTGATTGATTTTCCACAATTAATTTAACAATGTAAAAAAAAAATATTTCAATACCCAATTTTATTTTTAAAATATAGTACAGAAAAATATATTATTTTCTTTTTTAGAAAATCGATAAGGAAATATTTGAATTGATTATACCTTTGTGAAATTCAAACAACATAACTAATATTTTGTTATCCACTATACAATAAAATATATTATTCGTTAATTAAAATTTGATAACAACACTTGCCGTGTTATAAAGCAGATTATTATTTTTTGATGAAAATAAACTATTGAAACATTTAGTGTAGTAATTACCTTCCTTTTGTGTAGTAGTACTTGTTCTTGTTGTCGTCGGGGTTAGTGTTGTCGAGGATGTTGCTGTTGTAGTACTACGGGCTGTTGTTGGTAATGTTATATTAGGTAGCTCTATTTCCTTAATAGTTTGGGGTGTTGCAACAGTTGTAGTAGTGGTCGTTGTTTCAGATGCTGAAATTAAAAGGCAGGTGCATGTCAAAAATACGTATGAAGAAAAAAAAAAAAAAAAATATATATATATATATATATATATATATATATATATATATATATATATATATATATATATATATATATATATATATATATATATATATATATAACATTTACATTTACATTTTTATCAACATAATGTAATAATTTAAAATAGTTACAAAATTAAAACAAAGCAACGAAATTGTATTGTAGTATCTTTATTTTAAAATATGGTAGTAAGATTCACATGTAATTATTTTTTTGTATGTCATGAATGAAAAATTGCAAGCAAAAAAAATATTCCGATATTGAATTGAAACTGTAAGCCTGCTTTCGTCCTAAAACTGAAATGATAAATTTTAAAAAAATGTAAAAAATTTCATATATATATATATATATATATATATATATATATATATATATATATATATATATATATATATATATATATATATATATATATATATATATATATATATATATATAGATATATATGTGTAGGCTTTGAACAAGTATATGCATTTAAGCAGTATTTGTGTATTTAACTATAATGTATAAAGTAAATAATGTATTTATATTTAATTTATTCATATACATATATATATTATATAAATATATATATATATATATATATATATATATATATATATATATATATATATATTTATATGTGTGATAGAAATAATACCTAGGTACATATTATGATTAAAACATAAAATTGAATAAACTGATCAGCGACATATCCTAGTTTAAGGACACACTTCAAACAATAGGCTATCTACATACGTTTAACCAACGTAAAATTTATAATACACGAAGATCCAGTATACCTAGAAAAAAAATATAGCAACACATTAATAGTTTTGTGGTTCTTGAACTTCAATACTCGCGGCTGTTTTTTTTTTTTTTAAATAAAAATAAATAAAATGTTGCATTATTTTTAGTTTTAAGTCTAATTTTATGATAACTACTAGTTTTAAAATATCTGACCTATAAACAATTTCTTATGTAATATTAAAAGTTAAGTATTTCCTAAAATGTGAAGAGTATTCGAAGTTTTCAAATTATTTGCTTATATAATTTTAATAATCGTTAGTACTATTTCCTTATCATTATATCATTCTACTTTAATGATTTTTCCTTAATAGCATTTGCATACTTACGTATACATTTACAAAATTAACATATTGACAGTACTTATAAAAATTGAATCATTAATGTATATTTATTTAACTGTAATAACAATAATCATATTTCACATTAACTTACATTTTTCTAATGTATCATCTTTTTATCACAGTATATAAATATGCCAAGACCCGTTGGCTTTTATCAAGCTTGAATACTGCTAGTAACCATGACAGATGGTAAAAAGGAAGTGAATTGTAAATTCCTACTCACACATGTTTCATCTAGTAGACCAGTCGTTGTACTCACCCCATAATGCATTGCAACAAATGTGAAGTGAATGGCGCGCGGGATGAGCTGGGCGGGCGGTAAATGACGGTCTTCGGCCTTGAACTTGAACTTATATTTTGGATAAGCAAGCGCGTGCACAATAAAGGAAGTAAAATCCCAGTGAATTTTACCACGTGCCTAAAGCCTGATAGTTTATTCAATACGGGCAGGCTTAACATACGCCGCTATTTAGTTGTTTTATTTTCTAGTAATCAGTGATTCATACTTTGTGAATTCAACACTACCAATACTGCGACTGAAAATATTTTACTTCAAATCACTATCAGTAGCTCGTGAATGGCGTTTATCCTCACCCTCCATTCCCTTCCCCCCCAAACACCCCCCCTCCCCATCCGCACCCGCGATAGCAGCCGTCCGAGGCGACAGTTTGCAGTCGACAGTGATATGATCAAGCAGAATTTCTGACCTCCTTTAGTTACAAATCATTTAAAAACTAATTATCTGCTCCTATTAGCCGTCGCTAATTCGACCCGGGTCTACGGTTGTAAACATTCGGCGTGAACCACTGCTCACCAGATTGTTGGGGGTGGGGGTGAGTACGATACGGTCTGTTGCGCATGCCTAGAGAGCTAGGGAGGGGGCGGGAGGAGGGCTAGATAGTTGGCTTACGTGCGTGGTGGTGTCCACGTAGAGAATTATATAAACGAGCCGACCCGAGGCGTATCTATTTAGTAACTATTTAGTTGTTTTATTTTCTACTTTTCAGTAGTTCATAATTTGTGCATTCGACAGTACAAGTGCTGCCACAGAAAATATCTGCTTTAAAACACTATCAGTAGGTCGTTAAGAACGATACTACCCCCACCCTCCTTTCCCCCAACCCCTACCCTACACCCCCCCACCCCCCGTGAAAGCAGCCTCCTCCTAGTTACCTCCCCTAAGTTTAAAATCGTTTCAAACTAAATTATCTGCCCCTAATAGCCGTCACTAAACCCGGCTCTACGATTGTAAACATTTAGCGTGAACCACAGCTCATCAGACCATGTGAGGGTGGGGTTGGTAGGGAGCGCGCTTACTGCTTGTTTTTTAGCGTCTCCAAGATGAGAATTATATATATAGATAGAAGATAGATGGTTCATTGAGGTTCGATCAGCGATTTTTAGTTTAGGCCAATAAAAGTTGTATAAAATGGAAGCTGACAAAATAGAACCTACAGCAAACTAAATCGAAAACTCATTTACAAGGATTGAATAAATTCTTTTTAGTCTAATACGTTAAGACAATGTAACTTTAACAACTCGATTTGAACACACTTTCACCAACATTATTAAGTGATCTTTTTTAAGGTTCCGGGTTGTCAATAAACTATGTTAAATGTTCGCATAAAATCATGCTGAAGCTTCTAAGTGGCCTTGACATACGACTCATAGTCAAGTGCTCAAATGCGCAGTTTGAAATTGTTGAATAGATTCTATTGTTGGAAATCACAATACATGTTTTGTCGTGATATAAACACTTGAGAGTTTTTAAACTTCCTCAATGATTATTTTGTAAGGCTTGCAAGTAAAGCAACATGTTTTCAAGAACATTTAGTTGAGTGGTGTATGCTAACATTACCATTTTCACATGAAGAGATGTTCTAACATTCATAATTTTAACAAATTTTTAGCACTGCCATTTTGTTTATTAGAAAACAAAATATCGTAATCCTACTTTAGTCTGGTTACCAAACTTTGTTTTGGTGTTTTTTTAAATTTCCTAATGTAGCCTCGCTTTCTGTCACATAATATTCGTAGCCTGCACGTGGTTGTTCTTTTCGCTGTAACATTACAATCAGAGGCGTAGCGACCCTTCCCGGCGTCCGGGGACAAACTTTTCCTCAAACTTGCACCCCCCTCAACCTTTCAATTTATTTTTCCAACCCATTTAGGCGCCCCCTAAGGTCGGCGCCCGGGGACATATGTCGCCACCCCCCCCCCCTCGCTACGCTACTGATTACAATCATGGTCTACACATTATTGTTGTTCTCTTCAGTGTGGCGTAGCCAGGAATTGGTCATGGTAGGGGTTCAAACATTTTTCCATATGTAAGCAATCCTATATATATATATATACATATATATATATATATATATATATATATATATATATATATATATATATATATATATATATATATATATATATATATATATATATATATATATATATATATATATATATATATATTTATATGGCTCCATGGGATTGGTTATAACCCCCTTAACCCCCCCTGCCTACGCCACTGGTTCTATTCGCTCTCACATTACCATTTCACTTGAAACTTCGTAACTAGCGTCTTATCCGTCAGCTGTGTTTACGCTATTCAACAGATATTAACGACTTCATAACCGAATCGATTAGTTGTTTTAATAAGCAAATGTAAAGTACGAAACTAAAATATCGATGCGGCAAATTAACCTTGTACAGTTGCTATTCAATGTGGTAATGCTAACAGAGTTTTTTTCAGGCATCTCTTCGGGGGGGGGGGTGCTAAGACCCCCCCCCCCCCTCTAAGAAAATCTACCGCCCTCCCGAACGAGATGGATTGTATACAGTAAACATACACTTTTACTAGTGTACGCCCCCCCCCCCCCCTGAAAAATGTTGACCCCCCCTCGAAAATTTCAAGAGCTCCCCCCTGGAAGAAACACTGAATGCTAAGTGTAAATCTGGTACGTGCACCTTTGACAACAGGTTCTTTAACCATAAAGGTTTTTACTAAATATGGTTTGATCGTAAATATCTTTATGTATTCTGCTTGATATGTCCCCGGGCACCGACCTTAGGGGGCGCTAAAATGGGTTGAAAGGTTGAGGGGGGGTGCAAATCGAAAGTTTGAGGGGGGGTTGCAAATGGAAATCTCAAGGGGGGGGGGGTGCAAATCGAAATCTCGAAAAGTTTGTCCCCGGGCGCCGGGAAGGGTCGCTACACCTCTGCTGGACATAGTTCTAACTAAACCATCCCTTCAATTCTACTTCATTTGTCTCGTCCGTTTTGAAAACGGAACTTTACCTTTATACAGAGTATAACCCAGTAAAGTGCAGGGGTCGGCAACCTGCGGCTCGCTCTTTTGATGTCAAGATGCGGCTCTTCAGCTCCATGCACACATTAATAATTATTTTTATGCATTTTTAAAACTTCTAAAAATATTAGTCTGCAACACTCTGTATTGAACGATATAATAATTTGTTTTTTTTAATTAATTTAAAGTTTTAAATTCTAGCAGAGCTTACTAAACTATTTTAATATATTTTTATATGAATAAATATTATTTCATATTTTAAGCTATTTATTTTAAATGTTATATATATATATATATATATATATATATATATATATATATATATATATATATATATATATATATATATATATATATATCATAAAAATTATATAAAAAATGTTAGTGGCTCTTTAAAAACTGTGAAACTTTGTAAATTGTAACTTTTGGCTCTTCCGTCTCATAAGGTTGCCGACCCCTGGTGTAGTTTATTAATATCACGTTTACTTACTTTTCATATTGCTCTACAACCAAATAGAAACATTAACAAAGTACTAGGAATCACTAATTAGAATTTAACTATAATAAGGTTAATTAACGCCATATTAAATTACCTTCACTTCGTTTTGTTGTAATAGGGGAAGTCCTTTCTATTGTAGTCGGTGTTGTAATTGGTGTTGCAGTCGGTGTTGTAGTCGGTGTTGTAGTCGGTGTTGTAGTCGGTGTTGTAGTCGGTGTTGTAGTCGGTATTGTAGTCGGTGTTGTAGTCGGTGTTGTAGTCGGTGTTGTAGTCGGTGTTGTAGTCGGTGTTGTAGTCGGTGTTGTAGTCGGTGTTGTAGTCGGTGTTGTAGTCGGTGTTGTAGTCGGTGTTGTAGAGATCGACTCTTGCTCTTGTGTACCTAGACCAAAAAACAATTGTGTTGTTAGTCTTGATAAATACGTGCAAATGACACTTATAGGTGAAACATATACATTATGTTCTGCTAGATATTCTAATGCATATTAAATTGGCGATTCTATTATTAATTGATGTTTTTTTTTAATAATTTCAAATAATTTAATATACTTTTTAGATGTTGCAAGAATAAACTTTTGTCAATTTACTAGAACTGCATCGATAATACATTAAAATAATTAATCATATTTGCCAGCATGGATACATATCCAAAATACTTTGCTCTAATAATTAACTGAATTGAATAGTAACGTCATCTAAGTGAACGATGTAAGATGCAACTATGTAACCAAAGCTTAATAGGACAAGGAGGGACAATAACTGACACTAATTCTTACCTGGGCACTATTTTTCATTAACATGAAGAAGCATACAACGATGTAAGAACAGTGATTCTTCAACAAGCAACATAATGTGTAGGCTATGGAAACGTTTACGGGTGTATAAAAACTAATGCATTCGACTTATAGGCTTATAACATTGTAAGGTGAGTTAACAAAGTCATTGAAAGATTAATGTGTATATGCTAGCCCAACACCGAAACTAAGAACTATGAAAACAAAAACACACTATGTTAAAAATATACAATTTTTAAAGAAAATATTAGGTTGTCAATAGAACAAGACAGATTCTTACAAAAAAGCATAATGAAACCTTAAATCGTTACCAACTGACGGTACTTATAAGAAAAAGACAGTTCTTAAAATAGACTTGCAACATATAACAGTTGTCATATGAGATTGTCAGACTAATTAGGTCTGTATCAAGTAGCTAAAAAATTCCCAAGGGGACTGGTTCCAATGTAAACAATACAAAAACTAACCACTGAGTTTATATGTAAATCTTTACTTTTCCATAAATACTCTCTAGTTTCATATTTATAGTGTTTATGTGTGTTTATGTTATGTATGATTATAAATTCCTTAAAAAGTTATTTGAAAAATAAAAGTAAAATTTACACAATATAGACATATTAAATCTGTCATCAAATAAAGATTGCAGATCTTTATACTCGTACTGCAGCACGGATATTGGTGACAGAAAGTCCAAGAACTTCCTTTCAAGAATTACAACATCATCTTCCTTGGTAGCATCATCATCGTTTGTATCGTACACAACATCATCGGTGATTGAGCATACATTAGCATTTTTCGAACTGATTACAATTAGAGAATTAACGATTTCCGGCCTGTCCCCATTCTCTTCAGCGAACGCATCTTCGTCATCGTTTCCTCTAATAATGTCCCGATATTGTTGTAGACGTGTTGCGTCCAATGTCTCAAAGAATGACTTTTTCGATGAGTACGTGTTCAAGTGTACGAATATTCTGTTGCATGTTTTTAATCCAACTCTAACTTTATCGTTGTCTATGTTTGTTCTGTTCAAGACAAATTTGATGAATTCTTTAATGATGTGGAACTTTTCTTCAGTAAGGATATTAAGGTCGAGACTAAAGACAACGTCTAGTTGTACATCCGGGCAAGCTAGGTGGGATCAAGGTTGACAAACATTACTACATTAAAATATACTTAGTACACATAATTACTAGACAATGTATAAAATAACATTCAGATCAAACACACAAACTCACACTCACACGCATATATATATATATATATATATATATATATATATATATATATATATATATATATATATATATATATATATATGCGTATGTGTGTGTGTGTGTTTGTAGCGAAAGTGAGATACATGTTTAGATAAACAGATATTTTTGGTTAACAAAGTTTCATATAACAAAATTATGTATTGCAGGAATCACATCTCCTTAATTCGACAACATAACTAAGTAGTCAGTTTATTTTTAATCAATTATTACATTTAGTATGCTTATATATATATATATATAAATATATATATATATATATATATATATATATATATATATATATATATATATATAAAGCTTGTAAACGGTAGATAGACTTTTAGTTGATGTGTATGCTCCAGACCTATCATAAGGCATCTACTGTTTTATACCGTTGCATAATACATTATCTACATTTTTTTCGATAAACATTTGGCTTAGTGTTATAAACCATTTTAACACATGACCATATTCTGCTACAGACACCTTAGCTAAGGACAAGGCATCTCTTTATTACACATTATTATTGTAGCTAGTCAACAGTTAAACAAAAAGTTAAAAAAAAAACTCTTCACGTTAAGGCTGAGGCAGGAATGAGTACTTGTATCAAAAGAAACTCAACTCAACCACTTGAGAGTTGGCCTCAATCGCGCGTTGTTAAGCAAGAAAAAACCTTACGCTTTAGCTGTGTATGTAGGTTAATTATTAAACTAAAGCATAATAGCCATGCTTAACGAAAGCGTCGACTCGGGAGTTATGCAAAAGATGAAACATAAGAGAAATACTACCTTGTGATTTCGTATTGCTCGTTACCGTGGAAACTGTAGTGTTAGCAATATCTACGAAAAAGATGATTATATGGGAAATACATCAATAAACATTTATATATATATATATATATATATATATATATATATATATATATATATATATATATATACAGTGTATATTTACACTCACTCACAGTGTTTATTTATCCGGGTTTTCTAGGCTTTATTTTTATAGCAAAAGAAAACTGAACACATTAAATTACTTTTACTTTTTTTTAAATTTTGTTTCGTTTCAAAAGCAAAATAAAATATACAAGTAATTGACAATATTTATATCCAATTAAAATTATAAATTATAATTTATTTATTCAGAATTTACTACTATTTATGTTATTAGGTAAACTCGACATCATTATTTGCATACTTTACTGGACAGACGTATGTGAAAAGAGAAGGTTTCTAATGAGATAGTAATATCTGTAGTTACGAAAACTGCTTTGTTGTCTTTATAAAAGCATTTGCAATGAAAAGTTGTTGCCAAGTTTTGTAAACATCCTGGTACACATTTTTGTTGGTGAAATAATAAAATGTAGATAAAAATATTTCAACTAACACATGATATTTAAATTTTAGAGATTTATTTAGCAGTATTAAAACATGACTTACACTGAACATCTTTTTCACACACGACGTGTTTTTTCACTTTGATCTTAGTTCTGCAGTTGAAGTTTTGCGCCTTATTCTGTGAGTAGTCGGTATACCCACACGAGTAGGACGAATTTCGCTGCAGGATCCACCAAACATGTTTAACGGTAACATTTTGTAGCAGACCTGTTTGAACATCGACATAAGGTTGGTTCAACATGTAAATATATTGTATTGATTGGATGTAACGGTTGTATCGATTGAGCATTGATAATACAAAGCACTCAATAGCTTGTTTCTTTCGGGAGATGGAGTGAAATTTGAAAACCACAAGGGCGGTGAAATACTGTTACATATCTTTGGGGGGAGGTGTAAACAGTCACTACCGAATCTAAAACTTTCGGGAAAATTTGTCTAGCCGTCTAATATGCTCAATAAAACGGGACAAGCTAGGGAATTGAGTGAAGCCCATAGGGAAAGCAAAAGAGAGGTCGTCCAAGACAGACCTTGAGGGCCTTCTTGAAGAACTGAAGACAAAGGGGTGTCTTAGGAGATTGCATAATCTGGGAGACCGGACAAAATGAAACGGTATTGGGGTCAGCGTGGTCGAGTCGGTAAACCGAAAAGTCTCGAGTTCGAACCCTTGGGCAGATGAGGCTCGTTAGCTGGGGACAGCTACTCTTCTATGAGAGACAACTCCAAAATCAAACAAGTTCTGCCTTTTAGTTTGTTCTTGGTTAGACAAGGGCTTTGGAAGCAAATCCAAAAAGAAAAGCAGGCTGAAATCGGAGTCAATGGCCTCAATGACGCATAACCAGTTGACACGTATCCTTAATTGTGATGGAGGCGTGGTCTAGTCGGCAACAGCTCATGGTTGATAAATTAATTAAAGTACCGAGTTCAAACCCTCTGGCTGATAACAATCGATCCCTCTCAACACTAAAAATTAAGAACGAAGAAAAAGAAGAAGAAGGAAGGGTATTGTTAAAACCCTATTTTTCACAAGGAGTAAACAGGATTAGTCATTTTTTTTTGCATATATGTTGAGTACCTGTTAAGCACTGTACAGTGGAATTGGCCTGTTCTTTCCTGATCACTTTCGCGTTTAACTTTTCGCATGTGTCGCCAGCTTCTGTTGCACTGTCGGTGGTATTTGGTTGGAGTTGAATACACTGACCTGTTTCCGTTATGTACCAACCTTGGTCACATGCTAAACTACTCTTGCAAACTGCTGATTGACACGGTTCATTGAACATTTAAATCATATTTTGTCGTAATGAATTAAAATTGTAAATAATATGTTAGATGATATTGGCAATACATTTGTTCCTTTCACACAAAAATAACTTTTCTTAAAATGAGGGAATACTGTTAACCAATTTGTATACAAACTATTATTATAGAAATGGAATATTTACGTTTAGAAACAATATGAAAAATGTTTTTAGAAATCTTATTATCATATACGAACACCCGTAATTTTGCATAAGGGTGTTAAGATATTGAAAGAAATGACCATAATAAAACAATAAAATAACTAAAATGTACCTTCAGTGCTCTGGTTAGCGGCAACTGTAAATTATGAAATGAATTACAGATTTAATTTTTTTTTTAAAAATAGAATTTTACTAATAACAGACTAATACTGAATGTGATGACGCAAAGTTGCGTCGGAGAGGTCAGGTAGATAGCAGAAACAGGCTATAGATCGTTGGGCGGAGACCAATGGACGTACAGGAGCTGACCAGTCACGTGGGATGGTCAGCTGACCACGGAGGCGTCGGCAGTAGTTTGATTAGAGGCAGAAGGTGTTAGGAAGCGGTCAGAGACGGTTGAGAAATGTAGTTAGTTAGGAGTTGATAGGAAGCTAGCAAAAAGAGGAGAAGGTGTTATGGCGTATTAGGGAGCAGACGTAGTTGTGTAGAGAACAGTTAGATAGTGTTAAGATTGGTCATGGGAGTGCGTAGTTAGTAGTAGTACATTGAACAGCTAGATAGAAGTAGTAGTAAACAGTATACAGTAAAGAATATATTAGTTAGGTTAGGTAGGAAGATGATTATATAAAATGTTATAACGAACATTGTATTTTTGAACTTGAACCTATGTGTTTGAATATTTCTGTCATCTCAATACATCATCCCAACTTTCACATCTAGGTGTTACTGTTTTCCTTACTCTCACACTTAAGTATTATACTAGACACCTCCGAATTTTTACTGTATATTTTGCAGTTGGTGTCGAACCCTTCCAGGCAGGGGCGTAGCGAGGGGTGGAGCGGGGGTGCGGACCGCACCGGGTGACACCATTTAGGGGGATGACACCAAGGCAAAAAATAACAAAATATATAGAGAAAAACTTGAGGGGAGAGGGGTTTGCAGATCGAAAGTTTGAGGGGGGGGGGGGTGCAAATCGAAAACTTGAAAGTTTGTCGCCGGGAAGGGTCGCTACGCCTCTGGGGGGTGACACCATTAAGTGCCACACCGGGTGACACCCGACCTCGCTACGCCACTGCCTCCAGGTAATAGTTTTCAAATGTCAACATTTAATACTAATGATGTTTATTGATAGTCGGTTGTAAATACAGCTGGGTGCACCGTTGTTTTTTACTTTCTCGTATATACAAAGTATAAAGAAAGTCTTGTAATCGTGCAAAAAAAAATCGAGATTTTTACAAATCTCGACGTTTTACACCTCGCTGATACGGAAAAACATAATTTTGCAATCTTGTCTCTCCCTTGTTGTGATCGTCATTATGTACTTAAAATGCTTTTTTTTTTAACTGTAACTCTAATTAACCATTCATTAAACTGGCAAAAATATATGTATTATATATGTCTTTTAACGATTTTTCTTGGTGTCACCCGCTAAATGGTGTCACCCGGTGAGGTATGCACCTCCGCCCTGCCTCGTGATGCCTCTGCAGATACGGATATATATGTAATGTGCAATGTATACAACTTACTACATTAAGTACAAACGTATCTTATTAAAAATTGACACCTATTATTTTGAATTTTAAAATTGTGCTATGAATAGTTGTTTTCTTTTCTTCTATGTATTGTAGTGTGTAGTATCACATGTTATGATGTTTAATTCGGACAAAATTCCATCTTACCAATGTATAACAGAACACATATTAAAAGCACTACAGGTTGATATAAAATATCCATATCACATCTTTAGAAAACGTGTGACTCATAAACATACGGATATGTTTTCAGCCCCTAGGCCTACACACCAAGACCATTGTGAAATGTTGACACAATGCAATTGCTAGGTGACAAGTGAGGGCAAAGGTCATGCCTATTGTTGTCAGTACGGACTGAAAGCGCTCACTTAACGTGCCAGGGCTGACGCATCCGTTAACTGATAACGCACTGGGCGCTATTGTATACGTTCTCATTGTATACAACATCGTATGCACGTATATAATATATATATATATATATATATATATATATATATATATATATATATATATATGTATATATATATATATATACATATATATATATATATTCACACACACACATATATATATATATATATATATATATATATATATATATATATATATATATATATATATATATATATATATGTATATATATATATATATATATATATATATATATATATATATATATATATATATATATATATATATATGTTCTAGGAGTCACGGCCAGGCCCCGCACTGGCCTCTGTGTAAAATCTATCTGTATAGGACAGTGACCAGTTTACCAGCTTGTACCCAGGATGTGTCCTGATTTCAGAAATAATTTATTTTTTTTCAATTGAATTTCTTTATGCAAATATGGACACATATCCCTAAACGTAACACTAACTAAACTTAAACCTAGAAAACACAAACGCAGACATAACGAAAACACAATCACTTCTTAGTTAAACTCGCTGCGGTGCAATACTACATATAAGTTAAAACATATATTATTCACTAATTAGTACATCAAAACAAAACAATATAATAAAATTTGTATTGGTAGTTAACTACCAAACGGCTGGTTTACCAACAACGTAAAACTATAAACTACGAAAAATTCAACCAAGAGTAGACTGAAATGCAAAATAGGAAAATGAGGAAAATATACTAAAACGGTTTCGCTTCGCGATTTTGTTCAATAGATCACTCGTTTTATATTTTTTCCTTCGTTTCACGACAACTTACAGTATGTTTGTTTTAACTACATATTGACGATTTTAAAGCAAAATAAATGATCACTATGTTTTGTTTTTGCAGTCATATACAGAGTATAAAGTAAATGTGCACACAAATTAAATACATTTTTGATAGTTTTCTCAGTTTTACAAATCCATACTTCATGGTTTTAAAGGGAACTTTACTTCATGGTATACGCAATACATAAAGTGTATTGTAATCTTGAACAAATCTAAATCGAGCTCTTGACAAATTTTGACATTGTACAAGTTTCTGGCGCTGGAAAAACTGTTTTGCAAACATGTCCGTCTGTGTGTGTGTGTGTGTGTTTCTGTGTGTCTGTGTCTTTAAACAAGATAACTTGAGTACCGTTGCAGTTATGTTGACCAAATTTGATATACAAATATGATATCAAATTTGAAGTTTTTCTATCATGTTTTTCTATCACGCTTTTCTTTATATTTATTTAAATAGTAGTGTATAATAAATTTTCTACTTTTTAGTGCATTATTACATAAAAGCTTGTTATTAAAACGTTTTTTTAAATTATTTTTGTTTAGTACTTTACATGTTTTATTTTCAATAGTATTACAATACTAAAAACCATTGCACGCATATTGAACGTGATGACGCGCTATTGATCGTGATGACGCGTGTGATGTATTGGATAGAACTGCCTACTAATTTGTTCCAACTTTTAATTAATTTATAAAAAAAATTAATCAGGAGACAAATTAAGTCAAATTGCATGTCATGATGCATTGTCTTCATGTATTGACCCATCTACCAACTACGAAATGTATCTGTCAAGTAGAAGTGCCTGCAATGTCGCTCCAGTTTTTCGATCTAGACTGACGACAGACTGACGAAAGAGGAAGTGAGTTAAATAAAACCTTGTAAAAATAAACATTTATTACATTACTAGCCGTCCTGGCCAGGCCCTGCTCTGGCTTCTGTGAAAAACCTTTCTGTTAAAGACCATTACCTGTGTGTTTAGTAATCATCATAAACCCGGCACTGCCCACCCAAACAACAACCAACCAAAACCAAAACAACAAAACGCAAACATAACGCTAACACAATTACAAATACAAACGAAAACAAAAACCTAACAACAAACCCGACCACAAACACGAATACAAACACAAAGAAAAAACAAACAAAAAAGCAAACAAAAACCTAACAACAAACCCAACCACGACCACAAACACCAATACGAACACAAAAAAAAAAACAACGGAAAAGCAAACGAAAACAAACCAAATCCAAACGCAAAACCAACCACAAACACAAGTACAAACACTAAACCCAAAGAAAAAAAAACACAAACGAAAACGAAAAAAGAACGAACAAGAACAAACAAAATCAAAACGCAACCACTAACGCAAACCCAACCTAAACACAAAGAAAACACAAACGCGAACATAAACGCAAAGTGCTCACAGTCTAGCCCGGGGCAGAATCGCCTGTTTCAGCTTAATAAATGACTATAGTACCCCAACTTATTCATAATCTTTTGCACTCACTCAAACGAACGTAGGTGCCAAACCAAACCAAATGAACAATTATAATACCCCAAGCTTAACCGTAAAATACCTACAACATTTGCACTTGATCAATCCCCGCTAATTATGTAATTATTTTTTTCCCAACGCCAAAACAAAGTAATAAAAAGTAAATTCTTTTCCACTAATGCAATGATTTGTAAAGGGAAGTAATTGTGTTTTCCTAAGTAAGTGCTAAAGGACTAAATATAAATAATTTTCAGACATAATTAGAATTTTTGTAAAAGATGATAGTTTTTTAAAATTGTTTTTAATGAACATGCCGACAATTATTACTATCAGTTTGAAAAATGAAAATTATTTCCCAACACTTTCAATAGTAATTTTTTACTCATAAATTTAGACTATGAGCACGATAATAATCTAACACTTAAATCCATCGAAGTATGTCCACGACAAACAAACTTATTACATGTTACATACAGAATTGAGCTTTATACATTAGATATGCAATTTTTCAACATTTTAACAATGTCCAGTAACCGGAAGCGTTACTAGAGTGTAATCTATTTCCCCGGTCACAAAAAAACTTGAGAACTGCTTTTGGGTTACTTAGTCTAAAGGTTAATTATAAGTAAAATATCTTATACCCGGATTACTTGTAATTTTTGAGTGTCTTATCCCGAAGTGGTACTAATCTCAATTTATGTTGTTTTACTCTAATTTCTATTATACTATTCTGGTCTTAAAAAATACTTAATACCAAATAACTTGAATACTGATAGACGAGTAGCTAGACGAAATTTCACACTTAAATATATGAACTTATTCGCTCTTTCCTTTGAAATTTTGAGTAGTTTGTTAACATCGGAAGTAGTACTTAACACTACTTCAGATTTCTCAAAAACGGTATTTAATGTTTATTTTAGAAAGTAATAACTTTTCCGTTCTATTATACTCGCACTGTGTTCATTAAGTGAGCTTTTTTTCTGCGCGATTGTCTTATGTTTAAAATAAAAATCAGTATTTAAAACAAAATGTATTAAACTTTGTTTATAGCCCCCAATAACTGTTATTTGAGAGTATTTGATACCGGTTAGTGGAGATCACTCCCGCTTTATTAATATAAATTAAGTTGATCTCTAATTCAGAGGCGTAGCGATGAGGGGGGGGGGGGGGGGGCAGGGGGTACATATGTTCCCGGGCGCCGACCTTTGGGGGCGTCAAAATAGGTTGTAAAAACAAATTAAAATGTCATTTTAGCTGCATTTTTGCATTATAAATAATTTGAGGGGGGTGTAAATCGAAAGTTTGAGGAGGGGGGGTGCAAATCGAAAGTTTGCTCCCGAGGGGAGCGCCAATTTGAAAGTTTGTCCCTGGGCGCCAGGAAGGGTCGCTACGCCTCTGCCCTAATTTCTCAGCTAAACAATGTTATTAGGGAGTAGAATAAGAATTGTTTAGGACATAACTTAGCCTCGCAGATCGACAGCTCTGGTATGTACCTGACACCGTCAGGCGGATATTCAATTGTATTTGAGCCTGTCATTACCGTAGGTCGTTTATAGATACAAGCAATACTATGGGCAATATCGACTCTATCGAGCAAGAGTTGTCATCAAGTTTTCAAGCGGCTACCTGATAACAGGTAGAACTTTGATTTGGGGATGTATAGGGATTAAAGCGTTTCACTTGAATTGACAAACTATTATTGAATAAGATAATCGGTTACTTAACCGAGCCAGGCATCCCATCCGGCGCCCTAAATATATGGCAAATGATTAAAGCGTAAAGTTTTTAACTAAAAACTCGAGTACTTCAGTGTCGAGAGGTAGCACAGACCCACTAAAAGCTAAAATGCTTTACATTTAACTTAAAATGTATCCGGTAATGGGAAAATATTCAGAAATCGAAATGAACACTGATATTGATTTGGTAATAACCTATATCTTATACGGGACATTTTAAAATGTATCATTTAACCTATTTATTTAAAACTTCTAAACAAAAAATAAAAGTGGAGGAGAAGATTTCGGACCTATCAGTTAGATTTTTCTATGTTTTCATTACCACAAAACTTTTCTTTAGTCCTTAGGGTTTTTTGGGTACTTGATAATGTGATGGATCCAGGGATGTTGTATAGACACTGGTTCAAAATATAAACTCAAGTCTATCTTGACAGCATTCGCAAGCTCTAATGATTTGTCACTTCTTTGAATGTTAATCTTCAAGCTAAATATGCCATTGTTTATTACATACATACATACCTTCTGTTAATGACAGTGGGTTGGGTATTGAAGTTATAGTTGACGAGACATGTAGCACAATTGTTGGGGTCGTGGAGGAATATGACTGTGTTTCTTCGTGTGATTTTATCACTGAGCTTTTAGTAGCAGAGGTGGTTTTTTCAGGATTAGGGGAGAATTCCATTGATGTTGTTGGTTTTGTTACTGATTTCTTCACTGTTTCAATTAAATGAGAAAAATAAATATCTGTAGAGTTAGAGATCATTAAATTGTACACACGA